CCTCACTCCATTTGGATCTACCACTTAGGAGATACAAAAATCACAAACTGCATTCAAAAACTGAATAAATGAGCTAGCTTCACTGGCTTGAATCACTGACGCTTGGGACCCACCGGTAAGGGGACCCCACATGTAAGTGGCACTAAAAACAGAGCACGGCGGCTGTGACGGCATGGGAATGGCGCAGCTCGTCGGCGGCGAGGATTCCGGTGAGTCCAAGGGCATCGGCGTGCTCGCCTCAACGAGACGCACCTCACTATGCCTAGGGTTGAACCCCTACCAAAGCCTAACTAGGGCGGCGACGACAATGGCGGACGGCGGCCAGGCCCCGGCGGCGCTCCGGCGAAGTCCGGCCATGCAGGGCGTGGCTAAGCTCGGAACGAGCTTCAAGGGCTCACGGGGAAGCTACTGGGAAGAAGAACGGGGAGTGAGAGGGCTCTGGTGGTGGTCAGCCACGGTGAGCTCGATCTCCGGCGAGGTGCGGCGGCGGAAACCACAAATGCGGCCACTACCTTGGTTCGCCGACCCAACGGCGAGGTGGAAGAGCTCAAGGAGGCTATGGTGGAGCTTCGGGTGGTTTGTGCCGAGTGGAGACGCGACGACGATGATGCGTGAGCTCGGCGTGGCCGCGGTGGCGATGGCGTCGCCCTCCGTCCGCCTCGGCTTGCACGGTGAAGAAGAGGGAAAAATGGAATGGAGGTGGAGGTGAGCTGGTGGCGTCGTGGCGTACCTAAGGCGCGTCATGGCCTGACTGGTGGGGCCAGCGCCGGCGTATGGCCTCCACGGCGCGTCCACGCGGCAACGACGGCCTGAGGCCGGTCGGCCATGACTTGAACGGCCGAACACTGTAGACGCGATTCAGTTCGATCAACAGAGAAATGCCCGAGCCTGACAGAGCGATTTGGAGTCGATAAATTTCCTAAACCTTTGATCATTAGCACAAACTTCCTAAATGAAAGTTTAAGTCCTATGTACCAGCTACAACACTCCTTTAGAGATCAAAGTCTAATTCGCAATGGATAGAGAGTAAAATCAAGCCAAAGTCGAGCTTGCGAAACTAGAAATCAGCAAGGGACTTAGAAATTTTTCTAAGTGTAGAATCAGCACCCAAATCTGACTTGTGGGCCATGTTTGAGACTGTTCCACACATTTTCATGACTTGACCTCTAAACGAAGTTTGTTCCATATATAATTTTCTACAACTTTGCTTTAGGTTGCTTAGACATGCAAACACTCTATGGCACTGTTCCAGTTCAGTCAAACAAAAGCACTCAAGAGGAGCATCTAGTCAAACTAAACCCTAAAAGCATAATTAGGCAAAGTCATTAACATGAACATTGTTCCATTAGACATCCTAAGTGTAGCTAAGGTATTTTAAGAGTACATTTGACACACATTTGCATAGACCACACATGAGCACACACAATTGCTAGCATAAACCAAGCAGTCCAAATAGAAACACACATGAAATGATAACATTCATAATGATATGATGCTTATGAATGAGATGATGATGCTCATGCTCATGTGATGCAAGTGTTTCAGTGCAACCATAACACTGGGGTGTTACAATTCGGTTCAGAGTCCGCCCGGGCCTTTAACACCCCCTTCTGATTCCTACTTGTTTGTAACCCCACAGCAAACTTCGAGCACCTGGGCTCGGGAATAAAGTCACCGACCGACTGAAACTGGACGTAGGGCACGTTGCCTGAACCAGTATAAATCCTATGTCATTGAGTGTTAGGCCACATCCGATCACAATGCACGGCAAAACTACAAATATTTACTTGTTGGTCACTTTTCGCACCGACAAAAAGATGACTCAAAATGTGGACCCTTGCCATGTAGTCCACCATCCCATGTCCAACTCCCTTGGCGTATACCACATACTCCGGGCAGTAGTTGTAGTTGGCTCTCCACATGACCTCATTGAGCAAGGCCGGGAATCCTTCGGTGTTCTCTCCATGAGTGGCCATCACCAAACGTCCCACGTCCATCTAGAGATGTAAGACAAGGTAAGTTAGAACAAATTGTTTTGTAAAACTCAACTCATGCAGAAGTGGATGGGAATAGCTCTAAGATAGATAAGAGTTAAATAACAATAACAAGTGACATCCTTAGCATTTAAGTTCACATTTGTTCCAAATCATTTCTTATTTAATGAGTCAATATTTTATTTGCCTAAGACGTCCCCAACCTAAAACAGAAGTTGTAACGGCTCTCGATCATCTCTAGCCTGCTCTGATACCCGTCCGAGCGGCTGTCAGGATCAATGCCCTCTTAAGCGAATACCCAAGATGATAGTCCACTAGGGGCTATTAAATTGGACACATCTCTTAATCGGTCATCCCGGTACACCTCCCATAAGATGTACTAAAATACCAGCCTTCATCCAGGATCAGCCAAAGAGAGAGAATACATCACAACCACAGCTAGATCATATTACAAGTTCAAAGCACTTAAGTTTATAATCTAGGAGTTCACACATTTAGTTCATAACACAAGTTCACACATCACATACTACCATCAGAGTCTTAGCGGAAGTCTTTTAACATAGTTTTCCATGATAACTAATGTGTGGGTGTGCCACCGCCACACATCTACGCAACATTGGTCTCCCTACCACTCCTGATCCGACTGAGACTCGGGAGCATAAAAGAAACCATGGACTGGGCTGAACTACCTGTAAAACTCAAGATCACACAGGGTGAGTACTCAATTATACTCCGCAGGACTTACCCGATATAATTAACAAGGATCATGCAATTTGGGTAGTAGCAAGGAATACAATTAATTTTGCAGAAAGGCATTTGTACAGGAATAATAAATGTGATCTATGGACTTAGCAATTGCAGGTAAAGCATAGGTAAATGAATTAAGCAATTAGCAAATTGGAGCTCGATCTTCTATGAGTCCTGAATTCCAAAACAACTCTAGTCCGTATCTAGAAGTATAGAATTCCAAACCCAACTCTAGTTCGTATCTACGCCCTGTTCGCTTGGCTTATAAGCCGTACTTTTTTAGCTAACGAACAATATTTTTCTCTCACAACAAATCAGCCAACAATACTTTCAGTCATGGCTTATCAACTAAACGAACAGGGCACTAGTCTGTATCTAGAAGTATAGAATTCCAAACCTAACTAGGAGCCCAGATGCTTGCATGTGTTAATTTTAACAATTGTTTTAAGAAAAGGTTAAAAAATTTAAAAAAACATGCTAGTGGTGATGGCCGAGGCGGTGCCGCCGGGTGGTGAACTAAAAATAGGCTCAGGTGGCACTATTGGGTTTTAAACCAAGTTACCTACTTCATCCGTCCCTTTTTAATTGTTGTTTTCACGTCCTGAGAGATAACTCTAACTAAATGTGTATATAAAAATAATAATATTTATGATACATAATTAATATTATTAGATAGATCGTTGAATCTATTTTAATAATAAATTTATTTGAAGAAATAAATATTGTTAATATTCGCTACAAATCTAGTTAAGCATATTGGCACGTAAACTGTGACGACAGATATTTAGAGAGAGGGAATAGGCTGCTCGATACTGCTTGGAACCAAATTTTAGTGGACTAGCCAAATAGGTATTTGTATCAAACTTTTTTTTTGGGTAAATGGCTGCCTGTTTTAACAGCGATGAAGCCATAAAAGAAGAAGACTGCTGCTACCAGTGCCGGCCCTAGGGGTAGGGCATGAGGTGCGACGGCCGAGGGTCCAAGCGGAGGAGGGGTCCAAGCCCAGGTATACAAACCCCCAGGTTCGGCATTAGCAAACTAATGAGAAGAGAGACATAGAACTGGCTAGGCGGCCCAAAAAGACAACATCGGCATTTCTTTGCTAGTTTTTTTTCCACGGCTCTCGGGTAGAGAGGAGGCGAGGAGTCACGCTGCATACAGCACACTCTGATAGTGAGTTCGCGACGTGCGCCTTACACACATGGAGCTGGCGAGCCGCACCGCCGCGAAGAGCTAGATTACAGGAAACACGAACACGGCGCACGAGGACGACGATCAGGCAGGGCTCCACGACGATGACATCTTGATTCTTGGCTTCTTACGAATTGCGATCACCGATCAGTTATTTAGGCCCAATGTATTTTTTTTCTTTTTATTTTTAATTCAAATTAATTATTTGTATAGTATTCCAGACTTCTAGTACTTTGTACCCATATAGTCATATTTTTCTTCTAATTTAGGTGTTAAAATTTTAGAATATTACCTAAGAAACATTTGTCATGGGTGAGAAAAGAAAACGAATATATTGCCTTTTTAATCGATATTGTTCCTCGATAATTATCATACATCTACAAATATATTGCTTAATCTACATTGTTCCTCGATAATTATCAGACATGTTAAATTAAAAATATATTATTAAATTTGCTTTTATTTTGCAAGTAAAATTAGTGTGTATATATTATAAGATTTTATACATGGTCGAGAGATGCCATTACGACGACATCACCAGAGGGCCCTTAAGATTCTATGACCGGCACTGGCTGCTACAGTATTTACTATCTTGTATAGTTATGGTCCTAGCAGCTACCGCTGCAAAAACAAGCGGCCGAAGCCGAACAGGTCCTCCACTGGATCATCGAGTTCTGCTGGAAAAAAATTGCGTGTGGACCGTCCACCATAAGGACGTCCACTCAAACTACGACGCCGTGGACAAGTCGAGTCCGCCTCCGTGCCCCGGCTCGCGAGTCGCGAGTCTGCCTCCCAAGTCCCAGCGCTAGCCCCGATCAAAACCGGCTAACTTGCTTCGGCTCGCAAGCCACAGGCTCGTACAGTTCGGCTCCAACGTCGGCACGTCATTAGATTCCCCATTCCACTAACACGGGAAATTACAGGGAATATTAGCGACTTTGAAGCACGCCTGCAGTTTCGTCGCTTTTTCCTCTGGAGGCTGCTTCTCAACTTGTCAAACAGGCCGAGAAGGCGTTAGCGTAAGGTTGACGCTTCTTCTCAACTGTTGAACTATATAAGGGCGCCGCATCAAATCAACCGCCTCCCTTGTCTTACCCTCTCACTACACGGTCTCACTCTCACCTGCTCCTTGGATTCATGGCGAGGGAGCAGGAGGTAATCCGCCTCCTCGGGGTCCTTCTCTTCCTGCTCTCCGGTGCTTGGTCCACGTCGTCTGCCTCCGCGGCCCACGTCGTCTGCTTGCCGGTGCTTGGTCCACGTCGTCTGCTCGCCGTCGTTTCTTTCTCGGCGGACCGCGCAGAGGACGGCCTTCACGATGGCGGCGCACGCGTCGTCGGAGATGCGCAGGCCGTCGAGCTCCGCCCTGAGCCCCGCGTCGGCGGCGGCGTCGCAGCAGCTCAGGCCGTCGTCGCCGCCGCAGAATCCGAGCGCCTCTCCCAGCACCACCGGCTCCCCTGCAGAGGACAGGGCAACACATACAGCGAAGCAAGGCGGATTAATCACATACAGTGACGCCCATCAAGGAGCATGCACATATACACAATGAATCACAGTCACAGGCAGCAGCTACTCACGTGAGCCCGCGCACACCGGGGCCGGGGAGGCAGACGACGTGGACCAAGCACCGGAGAGCAGGAAGAGAAGGACCCCAAGGAGGCGGATTACCTCCTGCTCCCTCGCCATGAATCCAAGGAGCAGGTGAGAGTGAGACCGTGTAGTGAGAGGGTAAGACAAGGGGGGCGCTTGATTTGATGTGGCGCCCTTCCTTATATAGTTCAACAGTTGAGAAGAAGCCTCAACCCTACGCTAACGCCTTCTCGGACTGTTTGACAAGTTGAGAAGAAGCCTGAGGAAGAAGAGACGAAACTGCAGGCGTGCTTCAAAGTCGCTCATATTCTCTAATTTCCCGTGTTAGTGGAATGGGGAATCTAATGACGTGCCGACGTTGGAGACGAACTTTTCGAGCCTGTGCCTTGCGAGCCGAAGCAAGTTATCCGGTTTTGATCGGGGATAGCGCTGGCACTTGGGAGGCAGACTCGCGACTCGCGAGCCGGGGTAGTTTGAGTGGACGTCCTTATGGTGGACCTGTTCGGCTTCGGCCGCTTGTTTTTCCAGCACACAATTTTTTTCCAGCAGAACTCGATGATCCAGTAGAGGACCTGTTCGGCTTCGGCCGCTTGTTTTTGCAGCGGTAGCTGCTGTAGCGGCTAGTACCATAACTATACAAGATAGTAAATACTGTAGCAATAGTCTTTCTTCTTTTATGGCTGCATCGCTGTTAAAACAGGCAGCCATTTACCCAAAAAAAAAAAACTTGATACAAATACCTATTTGGCTAGTCCACTAAAATTTGGTTCCAAGCAGTATCGAGCAGCCTATTCCCCCTCTCTCTCTCTAAATATCTGTCGTCACAGTTTACATGCCAATATGCTTAACTAGATTTATAGCGAATACTAGCAACATTTATTTCTCCAAATAAATTTATTATAAAAATAAATTCAATGATCTATCTAATGATATTAATTATGTATCATAAATATTATTATTTTTATATACAAATTTAGTCAAAGTTATCTCTCAGAACGCAAAAACGACAATTAAAAAGGGACGGATGGAGTAGGTAACTTGGTTTGAAACCCAATAGTGCCACCTGAGCCTTTTTTAGTTCACCACCCGGTGGCACCGCCTCAGCCATCACCACTCGCATGTTTTTTAATTTTTCTAACCTTATTCTTAAAACAATTATTAAAATTAACACCTACAAGCATCTAGGCCTCTAGTTAGGTTTGGAATTCTATACTTCTAGATACAGGCCATATATGAACTAGAGTTGGGTCTGAAATTCTATACTTCTAGATACGGACTAGAGTTGTTTTGGAATTCAGGACTCGTGGAAGATCGAGCTCCAATTTGCTAATTGCTTAATTCATTTACCTATGCTTTGCCTGCAATTGCTTAAGTCCATAGATCACATTTATTACTCCTGTACAAATGCCTTTCTGCAAAATTAATTGTATTCCTTGCTACTACCCAAATTGCATGATCCTTGTTAATTATATCGGGTAAGTCCCGCGGAGTATAATTGAGTACTCACTCTATGTGATCTTGAGTTTTACAGGTAGTTCAGCCCAGTCCATGGTTTCTTTTATGCTCCCGAGTCTCAGTTGGATCAGGAGTGGTAGGGAGACCAATGTTGCGTAGATGTGTGGCGGTGGCACACCCACACATTAGTTATCATGGAAAACTATGTTAAAAGACTTCCGCTAAGACTCTGATGGCAGTATGTGATCTGTGAACTTGTGTTATGAACTAAATGTGTGAAGTCCTAGATTGTAAACTTAAGTGCTTTGAACTTGTAATATGACCTAGCTGTGGTTGTCAAAGAAATGCAGGCATTGCTTGGCAAGCTTTGAGCTCGGGACAAGGCGTAATGCATGCTCGATGACCTCCCTTGGTATGCCCAGCATGTCAGAAGGTTTCCACGTGAAGACATCATGATTGCGCGTAGGAAGTCAGTGAGCTCGCTCTCCTATTTGGCCAAGAGCTTGGTCCTGATCCGCACCGTCTTCGTTGGGTCGGTGGGGTCAATCCCCACCACCTTCGTTTCCTCAGTTAGATGGAAGGCACTTGAGGAGGTCGGCTCATTACAGTCAGGAACTGTCGGAGTCACTGAATTCCCGAGCTTCGGAAGCTCGGTGGAGTTGATGACAGTAGTGGCGAGCTCGTAATGCTCGCGGTCGCACGTGTAGGCGTGCAAAAAGGTGCTACCCACTGTGATGACGCCATTCAGTCCTGGCATCTTCAGCTTGAGGTAGGTGAAGTTGGGGATCACCATGAACTTGGCGTAGCATGGCCGCCCCAAGATGGCGTGGTAGGACCCTAGGAAGTCCACCACCTCGAAGGTCAGGACCTCTAAGTAGAAGTTGGCTCGATCGCCAAACGTGATGGGCAGGTCGATCTGCCCGAGTCGGTATGCCTACATCTCTGGGATGACACCGTGGAAGGGAGAGCTCACTGGGTGGAGCTTCAATCGGGGGATGCACATGGAGTCGAGGGTGTTGACGTAGAGAATGTTGAGGCCGCTGCCTCCGTCCATCAGCACCTTGGTGAGGCGCTTCTTGCAGACGATGGGGTCGATGACAAGCGGGTAGTGACCCTGTCGGGCGACGTGGGAAGGATGGTCTCTCCGATCAAAAGTGATCGGAGAGTCCGACCAGCTAAGGAAAGAGGGGATGGCCAATTCGGCGGCGCATGCCTCTCTGTAGCGTACCTTGTGCTGGCGCTTGGAGTGGATAGCGTTGGATCCCCCAAAGATCATGAGGCATTCCTTGGGGTTAGGGAAGCCATCATCATCCTTGCAAGCCGCACCTCCTTTCTTGGCCGCCTCCTCCTTGTCTTTCCCTTCCTTTGGCTTGTCGGCCTGCCACAGAAAGTGCTTGAGGAGCTCGCAGTCCTTGTAGAGGTGCTTGATGGGGTAGGCATGGTTGGTGCATGGACTCTCCATGAGCTTGTCAAAGTGGTCGGGCTAGCCCTGCTGGGGCTGCTTGCCTACACAATCGATCACGGCAACCAAGGCTGGGTTGGCCGATCGACGTCGATCTTTCTTGTTCTTCTTGCCCCTTTGTGTGGAGGGGCCTTCACCTTGGTCCTCATGCTTGGCCTTGCCCCTGTCCCAACCACCACTAAAGACCACTCCGACCACCTACTCACCGGAGGCGTGGTTCGTGGTGATGTCGAGCAGGTCGTGGGTGGTATGGGGCTTTACACAGCCAAGCTTGTGGATCAAGGACTCGCAGGTTGTCCCAGAGAGGAACACGCTGATGACGTCCACGTCAACGACATCCGGAAGGGAGTTGCACCACTTTCAGAACCTATGGATGTAATCCCGTAGGGACTCATTGGGCTCCTACTGGCAGCTCTTGAGGTCCTAGGAATTCCTAGGACAGACATATGTCCCCTAGAAATTCCCGACGAAGACCCTCTTGAGATCTGCCCAGTCACGGATGCTGTCGGACGGAAGGAATTCGAGCCATGCTCAAACATGCTCCCCCACATAGATGGGGAGATACTGGATGATGAAGTGGTCATCATTCACTCCTCCCGTTCAGTAGGCGAGCCAGAAGTCTTCAAGCCATATACCAGGGTTCGTTTCCTCGGTGTATCTGGCGATGTTGGTGGGTGGTCAGTGCTGTGGGAACGACGCTTTCTAGATACGACTACCAAAGGCCCATGGTCCTGAGCCATCCGGGCTGGGGCTTTGGTCGTTTGGTCGGCCACCATGCCTAGGGTGCGTGTCCCCGCACTCCTCGATGGTCAGGCCAGGGCCCGTACCGCCTGCTCTCGCCACCACTCAATAGGCGTCATCATTGTGCCGGGCATGGTGTCAATTGTTGATGACGCTTCAAGCATCAAGGTTTGGATTGAGGCGTTCACACATAGGTGGTCGGTGTGGAGCGAGCTTCGGGTCAGGCTGTGGTGCAGCCGTGGCTTCCTATCCCACACCCGGCAACAGTAGTGGTGAGTGGATGGAGTGACTCGACTAGTGCGGCACCAGTCCTCTAGTTGGGCAAGAGGCCATGACTCGATGTCGCGACGTGGATCTCTCCACCTGTTGAATGGCGGTGGTCTCCACCAGTGCCCAGAGGTTCTGGTGGATTGCTTGTTTCTAGGGGTCGGCCGGCTCGGGGAGGCCATGCAGAAGCATCACCGCAGCAGCGATGTTCTGGCCAGCTCAAGCGAACTGAGGGGGGTTGTTCCCTCCATCTAGGATGTTGCGCTGGACCTGACGGACGTGACCTCGAGCGCTGCTCACCGGGTTACGTGCATGTGGCTGGCTCTACCGCCTTTGTTGTAACTCCTCGCCGTGCTCCTACGCACGCATGGGGGCCTCCGCACGAGGGTCCGAGGGGTGTGAGTCTACAGAGACTTCGCTACCACCGGTGGTTGTCCTGAGGTGTCCGCCATAGCGTACTCCTAGGACAGAGGGTGGCCAGGTGCCACGACGTCGCCCATGCTGGAGCCGTCACTTTCGACCTCGTCATCAATGAGGTCATGAAAGGAGACGGGAGGGTAGCCTGCCGTCCCCATGAATTCGGATGTGAGAGGGGGCGACATCAGCATCCTTCAGAGCCCTCGCACGTACGCGTCCACGAGGGACGCAAAGCCATAGGGGAACCAGTCGCACGGCGGTCACAGTGGGGACAACAGGGTCCCTTCAGAGAGTCAGCAGAAGGTGTTCAACAGTGAGTAAAGAACAACATGTACATTACTCACCATGGAGTTTCAGCTCAGCATGGGCATGAGGTGAAGCATGAGTGTTTCGACGTTGAGGTCATCGAGTAGCCCAGGGCCAGTGGAGGGTGCTCCTCCTCCAGTGGATGCTGGGATGCGTGCCTCCTTGTGGAGGCGGAGTATGCCGAGCCAATCGGCGACAAAGTTTAGACTCTCGAAGAGGAAGGTCTGGAGTGGCATAAAGATGGGAGGAACCCACATCCCAATAGGTGAGAGTGTGGGGAACTCTAGCGAGCCAAAGCAAATCATATCACTTGAGCCTGCCATGTCGAAGATGGTGGAAAGGTGGGCCATTTGATGACCAAAAGTGTGAACGCACGGCGTCTTCCCCACAGACGCCGTCAACTATCGGTGCGAAAAGTGACCAACAAGTAAATATTTGTAGTTTTACC